GCCATGTCCGTCGTTAAAATTTTTCTTGAATGAAAAAGTAGACTAGTGGTTACAGAGCCCCCATGGGACTGGACTAGGCCCTCTGGATATGGAAGATGGTTGTTTGGCTTGAACTGTTTGGGGGGCACCCAGGCAGGGGGATCGGGATTCATGCCTGGTGCATGGGCAGGTTTTTGGGGATCCAGTGCCTGTAGTGTGACTCCTTGCGTATCCTTGGTGCAGTGGGAAGGGGCTTGGACCTGCCTAGGCTCAGTGTGTCGAGCTCTGTTGACTCCCCATGGGAGACCTTGATTTGGGGGATGTGGGGATGTGGGGTGGCTTGGGAGAGAGGGCTGGGGGGTGGGAGGAGGGAGGAGGGGGATCTGTGGGTGGTATGTAGAGTGAGTAGAAAATTTCTTAATAAAGAAAAATGAAAAAAAAAGAAAAAGGAAATTAAGAATGTTAAGTAAAACCCTGTTTTAGGGATTTATGGACAATCAAATCAGCTTTCATGTGAGGGATGATCTCCTGTTTCCTCATCCTCCTCTTCTTCCTCCCCTTCCTCTTCATCCTCCTCTTTTCTTTTAGGTTCATGATAAAATTGAGAGGAAGGTACAGAGATTTTCCTTATTCATACATGGCCTTTGCCATTGTCAACTGCCCTAAGAAGGTGGCGGTGTTGGTGCCAACTGCTAAACTTGTATTGGTACATCACTGCACCCAAAGCCCATACCTCTCATTGAGGTGTATTTTGTGAATTTGGAAAAAATGTATAATGTCATGTATCCAGCAATGTCATATCATGCCAAACAATTTCTGCCATCAAAAGCTTCTCTAATCCCTGATTTTCCATCCTCCCTCCATCCCCTGATCTGGGCACTGTCTTCCATTTTTGCTTTTTCTATAATGTTGTATATTCAGACTCAAACACTGCACACAGCCTTTCCTGTCTGCTTCTCTCAATAATATACACTTGCATTTTTATGACTGATAGCCATTTCTCTCGACTGTTGAATGTTATTATGTTGCCTTTATTGCTTCCGCTTACTTATCCATTCATCTATTATAGGATAGCGTGGTTTCTTCCAAGTTTGGGCCATTCTAAGTAAAGTGCCAATCATCATCCTGCACAGATTTCTGTGTGGACCTAAGTTTTCAACTCTTTTGAGGAAATACCTGAAAGTTCAGCTGCTAGGCCATGTGGAAGGAGCAGGTTTAGTTTGGTGATAGACTGCAGAACTGTCTTGCAGAGGGGTGGTCTTTCTTCCTTTTATAAATCCCCTGTTCTCCTCCCGGGGTCTTTTCCCAGCGAAGCCTTTCTCTCCTAAAGGAAACTGCATTACCTTGGGGATACTGTTTTGTTTTCGGTTTTTTTCTATGTAGGTCTCCTCTCTTGGGTGATCAGCTTTAGAGGCTAATACTAAGTTTCTATTTATTTTTTTAGTTCCATCTCTGAGGGAAGTGAGTGGTTCACACCATTGTGGTTAATCAATGGACAATTATAAGTTGAATTAAACTTGTTAATTAATCAGTAGGGCTTGATATCATTACTGTAAAAAGAAAGAGAAGAAAAAGCCAACTCCATATGTAAACTACATAATCTCATCACAACTGGTCTCTGCTATATATAGTCACAAAGTTTGACCATGAGCAAATTGATGCTGATACATGGAAATGGAATCTTCTTGTATAGTTGTGCACTGTTACCTATGAGTGGGCTGTCAGCTTTCATCAATCCCTCCTCAGTAGAAAGGCACCTGTTTACATACACATGTCTGGGAATATGCTGAGGGTTCTATTGATTCCCTAAATAAAGGGGTTTTCTTGTGAAATATGGCTGTATACCCCTTGTAGATTAAAGAGGCCTAATGAAAGTTTAAAATCAGCTGAGCATTCACACTCCTTTGGATCAATTTAGTATAGAAAGATGGCTTTTTCTCCAAGCGTGTGTGTGTGTGTGTGTGTGTGTGTGTGTGTGTGTGTGTGTGTGTGTGTGCGCATGGGTACACATACTATGGTATCAGCTGGTTACATTGCAATATAATATAAAAGCCCCTAGTAAAGGAAACCAAACATCTGACAGATGCTCCCTGGATCAATGCTGAAACATTTGTATACTGGGGAGGTACAGATACTGACTTTTTAAAATTGTTCTATGCACAATGATTTCAATTCAGCTTAGTTTGATCTTTCAGATTCCCACCCACTTCTCAGTTAAAAGGCACTCCGTATTCACATGATGTGATAATAAGCATAATGTGTCAATGCAGAGCCTTGTTCTTTAGCTTTCTGCAGCCTGTATTTTATGCTGATGCTCTACTGAAGTGGTGCAGGTCCAGCAGTGAATAGGGACACTGAGAAAACCCTTTGAGGAGATGGAGGACTTGATCAAAGCCTGGTAAGATGCTTCATGTGTTCTCGATTCACAGAGATACAGAGAACATAAAAGGAAGTCACTTGCCCTGGGACATGCCACATGCACCTTGAGAGATGCACAGGTATTTAATAATCTATTCTTTAAAGTCCCCTGAGAAAGGAGAGTCTATTATCAACATTAATCAATTATAGTTCTTAATAACCTCCCTAATATACTCCCTTACACAGCAGTGTTTTTCACACTGCAATTTCTCTGCAGTTATTTTTTTTTCATGGTAAGATTAAAGAGTCCATTAATCATCCTCATATTATAGCAAACATATGAAGCCTTTCCCAGCCATCACTAGGAACTGTCTTGGTTCTCCAGTGTACTTAACATCCTAGTAATTGTCATAATCCCCGCCAAGATCCCCAACCCACAAATACCAATGTTTGGAGCACCTCATTTGTGGTATTTCAAAAGCAAAGGTAATGAGGTCATGGCTGGTTTGGGGATGTTATATAGGGTGGATGTTTTCCATTTGGACTTACATTAAGAATCCAAAACTTATTTAAATGCCTATCAGATGATGGGCAAAGTGCTGACTTGGATGGTGTGTGAGTTACACTTGCTTTAACTAATTCTCCTTTGCAGGCTCCTTAGGACCTCGGTCCCCAGAGGTGCTAGGGGTGCAGTGCAGATCTGAACAGGGACCAAAGTGCCAATTAGGCAGCAGTGGAGCCTTTACTACATGGCTGCATACCAGAGATGGCTTCACAGGATGTATTCTCCGTTACCATGGAATTGTGTAAGGTTGGGTGTGGTGATATTTTGTTCTCCAATATATTGTGCACCCTAATGAACTTATCTGGGGTCAGAGAACAGAACAGCCACTAGATATAGAGGCCAGAAAATGGTGGCACATACACCTTTAATCCTAGCATTCCAGAGGCAGAGATCCATCTGGAATGAGTTCAAAGCCACACTGGAAACAGCCAGGCATGGTGACACACGCCTTTAATCCCAGGAAGTGATGGCAGGAAGCAGAAAGGTATATAAGGTGTGAGGACCAGACACTAGAAGCTTTTGGCTGGTTAAGCTTTTAGGCTTTTAGCAGCAGTTCAGCTGAGATTCATTCGGATGAGGACTCAGAGGTCTCCAGTTTAAGAAACAGGATCAGCTGAGAAGTTATCGAGATGAGGTTAGCTGTGGCCTGTTCTGTCTCTTTGATCTTTCAGGGTTCACCACAATACCTGGCTCCAGGTTTGTTTTATTAATAAGACCTTTTAAGATTTGTGCTATAGTTGGGCTGAACATACAGAAAGTTCATCTGAATATGTCTGCTCATTCGGGCTAGGTGACCCCTCGTTACCCAGGCATGAGGCCAGCTCTTCAATTTACTCATAATGAGATATTGAGAAAGCTCCCTAACTCTTCAGTGAGCTTCAGTTTCCTTACTCATAAAATGGGAATATTAATTAATATATATTAATATACCTTCACAACAATTAAATGAAACAGTGTAGGCAATATAGTTAGCATATGGCAGCTGTTATTTTGTAAGTTTGTCTATTTTCTATTGGAAATTTCCCAAGAGTGGAGTCACTGAGCATCTCTCCTGATTTTCTAAGATTGTTATCAATCCAGTGACCAGGATTCCTTCCCGGATCTCAAATTGGAACAGTTCTATGGGGGCACATTGTTGTTGATGCTTTCCATGTATTTGAGGAATGTAGAAAGATTTGTTCCTGAGGTTTATTGTTTTAAATTATAAATAACACTGAGCATAAATAAAAATCAGAAGCAACTATAACAGGCCCCCAGGCATTAGTAGGCTCCCAGACCTTAGCGAAACGAACTCTACAGTGGAAGTACCATTCAGGATGTAAAACTCAGTACGTAGACAGTACCACCTGCTAAAACTAAAACAAAGGCAGAACCCATCAAAGTCCATAGTTCTGGGAGAGTCTCTAAATGTACTAACCTTGCTTTTTGGCTTCTGTAGTTCTGCTTCTGGCTAACTGTTCTTGTTAAATGAAGAATGTCGATCGAGAACATAATTTTTGTGCTTAAAAGCTCACTCTGTGAAAGGCTTGGGGGCTACACTGAGATCTGGAATACCCAGCATAGTCGTCAGCTGACTAATAAGGTCTTTCTATTGACTGAAACTCATGTCCCAGCAGTCTTCTCTGGTGAATACCCCACAACAACAATGGCTCATATGAACTGTGTTTACTGAAGATTACCCCTTTCACTGATCTATCCTTCTCCCATGAAGCTACAGGACACATGATATAAGTCTCAGACGTGTTGACAAAGGTGCCTGGATTCTGTAAGTCTGGACTCTACTCTGCTGTGCTGCCCAGAGATTCATTCAGTCTCCACTTCTGTAGACTAAATAATCATGTTTTTCAAAATGGAATCAATTAACAGCTGATAAGAACAATTAGACAAGAACATCATTTTAGAAGTACATGCCACATCACCTACATCAAAACCTTGCTGGAATGAGTAATAATGACACTGGGTTACATGTGAAAGGTTGTTTTAATATGAGTGAAAATTAAAGCAATGATGAGCAGAAGGTCCAAAGTACCCCAGGGTTGGTTAGTTTGGGCCAGGTTAGATGGATTAATATTTTGCACACCATCACACCTCTACTTACAGGTTTAACAGGCTTTAACTCAACATGATCCTGGCAGTGGGAGTGCGCGTCTAGTCCACCTATGAAATCAACTGAAATACAGCAGCCCAAGTTGGATCAGTGTATAAATGAAAATGCATGTAATACTGAATTTTAAAGTAGACTACATATGCATAAGACTAAGAAAAATATCATCTCCTACAAAGTGGAAGAAGTGAATATTTAGTATGAAGGGCTGCTAAAAATATTGTAGGGAAATTTTAAGAAACACACAAATAACCTGAGCTTTTAGGGCCTGAAAAAAATCACAGTTGCTATTGATTTTGATAAAAAAAAATGTGGTCATCTGAAATACTATGAGGTTTGAAATAATATGTTTGTCTCATTATATCTCAAAATATGTGCTTTCTCTTTTGGTTGCCCAGATCTACTTTTTACCTTTTTTCTTAAGAATATTCACTGCATCATGACAAATAGTTTGAGGAAGTCACATAATCTGTCTCCATGCTTCTGTCTTCAAGCTATTCTTATGAAACAAGCATTTGTCTTTTGAAAAGGTTCCATGTTCTGGACACTATGCAGCTCTGCCTGTAGTCTCTAGAGGCGTGGTGAGTTTTGTAATCATGTTTATAATTTCCTCCTGCCTTACTCTCCTTTCCTCTCAAACCTTTGATTTGTTTCTTCTATTTTTCACTGAAGATATTACTTTAAACCAATGGTTCTCAACCTGTGGGTTATAACCCCTTTGGGGGTCGAATATCAGATATCTTGCATGTCAGATATTTACAGTATGATTCACAACAGTAGCAGAATTACAGTTATGAAGTAGCTGCAAAGTAATTTTATGGTTGGGGGTCACTACAACATGAGGAACTGTATTCAGGGTCACAGCATTAGGAAGGTTGAGGACCACTGACCTAAGGTTTGGTTTATAACAGTAGTTTATAACAGGTACATAGGCACAAAAGAACACTGGACTCCCTAGGACATGAATAGGAGTGTGTGTGCACATGTAGTAAGATACACAGTGTGTAAACAATATCACTTTCATTTCAAGACGCATTTCAGGAACCATGGTTGAGAGACAGATGAATTAGCCTAGAGGTTCTACCAAATTCTTCACTAGCTGTAGTCACTCTGGCAACTGCTGACTTACTTCACTGTCTCACTTCCTTGAGAAGCTGAAGCAAGCCCAGGACAAGCAAATTCTCAGCAGCCCAACCAACAAATATGAGCCTGTGGGTGCCTAGCAACTAAATGGTTGCTAGGTGGTGGTGGAGCATGCCTTTAATCCCAGCCCTTAGGAGGCAGAGATAGGCAGATTTCTGTGAGTTCAAGGCCAGCCTGGTCTACAGAGTTGCAGGACAGGCTCCAAAGCTACACAGAGAAACCTTGTCTCGAAAATACCAAAAAAAAAAAAAAAAAAAAAAAAGTCCCCTGGTCAGCAAAGAGTCAGAGACCATCTTTTTACCTGTCAGGTCCACAGGTTAACAGAACACCATCTTAAGGAGGGAAGTGAGGGGAGGCAACTTGCCTGAGACGCTGAAAACATTTCTTCTCAGATATGAGGAAGGCATTGAAGTGTCAGTTTAGATCAAGCTTTATGAGAAAGCTAATAAAATATTTGCCCTCATGTTTTTGGATTTGTGTGTAAAATTGTAGAAGGAAGATGTTATGATTAAAATTGAATGACTGGATAACTTATAGGGAACTTTTCCAAAGTAAAGAGGGTGTGAAAATACACAAAAATAACTATAGCAGTATATAAATAATAAAATAATTTGACTTAAAAAAACTATATTCAAAATTGAAACATTAGATGGTATAGATCTATATACATCAAAGCAAAATCAAACAAGAGTTCTGTATATTGATTTTGACATTACAATCACTATTTTCAATATAAATTCATGGTTTTTAATCTGTTGCTTAATCACCTCTGTTGTTGGTATATCACATCATCGACATTTTGAGAAAACAAATATTCAATATTAATTACATTATTTTTATAAATCTATTTACTGTCCTCTCTGAAGTTGCTTTGTAGGATTTGTATATTTAAATTAAAATTAAAAAATCTTATTTGTATTTTTATATTTATTTTATATGTATGTGTGCGTGACTGAGTATATGCATGTGTGTGCACCATGTTCCTGAAGGAGCCACAGAGGTAAGAAGTTTCTAATCTCCTGAACTGGAGTTACAGATGGTTGTGAGATGCTATGTGGGTGCTGTGAACCGAACCAAGGTCCTTTGCAAGAGCAAGAGTGCCCTTAATTGCTGAGCTACCTCTCCAGCCCCAACGTATTTTTTAATTTATGTGTGTGTGTGTGTGTGGGGCATTGAATAGGTATGGCCCCCATAGACGTGTGTGTTTGAATACTTGCCTCATAAGGAGTGGCACTATTAGGAGGTGTGGCCTTGTTGGAGTAGGTGTGGCCTTGTTGGAGGAAGTGTGTCACTGTGGGGGCAGGCTTTGAGGTCTTACATATGCTTAAGCTACACCCAGTATGGTACAATCTCCTTTTGCTGCCTGCGAATCAAGATGTAGAACTCTCAGCTTTTTTGGCAGCACCATGTCTGCCTGCACACCATCATGCTTCCTGCCATGGTAATAATGGACTAAACCTCTGAAACTGTAAGCCAGCCCTAATTAAATGTTTTTTTTTTTTTTTTTTATAAGAGTTGCCATGGTCCACAAACACATCAAGCCATGCAACTTACTCAGCCTTGATGCTGCGAGAAGGAGGGTCTAGATCTGGCCCCAACTTGGTATGCCAGCCTGTGTTGACTACCCAAGGGAGGCCTTACACACTATGAGGAGGGGAGGGGAGAGGGATGGGGGTAGGTGGGGGGGTAGTGGGAGAAGGGGAGGGAGGCAGAACGGGGGGGGGGGGGGAGGTTGGTATGTAAAAGGAAAGAAAAAATTTTTTTAAATAAAAAAAATAAAAAAGAGTTGCCATAATCATGATTTCTCTTCACAGCAATAGAAACACTAAGCATGTGTGTGTGTGTGTGTGTGTGTGTGTGTGTGTGTGTGTGTGTGTGTGTGTATACATGTTAGCACATATACGGAGGTTAGAGGACAACTTTCAGGAGTTGGTTCTCTCCTTTTACCATGTGGATTGGGCGGCGGGGGTGGGGTGGGGTGGTGGGATCCAACTCAGGTCATTAGGCTTAGCAGGAAGCATCTTTAACTGCTGATTCATCTCACTGGCCTAGGGTTAGTAAATTTGAAATTAATACTGAAGTGAATCTGGAAGTCATAATGTTTTTACTGGGGAAATAGCCTTCTAATGGTCTGGGAAATGTCAAGCTAATTGGTTAAACCAATGATATGTGTAAGATATTTCATTTCAAATGTTTTTCTAAAAACTATTATTTGGCTATTATATCTTTTTCTTAGTATCATGCATATTATGCTTTTCTTTGGCAAGAATTTTATAAGACGAAAATCATAAATTATATCTACTCACGATGGGTTTTATCCAGTATATATGATGCAAAATTTTAGGCCTCTGATCAACTTATGTTTATTTTGGTGAAAAACATAAACTTGGACAACTAAAACAAGAACTTTGTCAAGAGTCTTTTCAAGGCAGAAATATTTCAAAGAGAAATTATAAAAATGAAAAATCTAATCCTGTGTAACACTTAAGCTTTTATTATTTTGATCTCTTTTGTTTGTCAAGGACAAAGCTCAGTGGTTTCCTCTTCATAAGCCTCTAATTATTACAATTTACTAAAATCTCCCAAAACTGACTTTTGGTGTTTTGTTTCTTGAATAATCTATTTAAAGATTTCAACTAACTTTTCATGTAATACACCTAAAACATAATCATTCATAAATCTATTCTCAACTTTTATGTGAGATGGATTCATTTGCAAGGTAGTTCTCCAAAGCCTGGTTACTGAAGAGAAAGAGGAATAAAATGTTTATTCTTCTATGTTGAAGTTGTTTGTGTTTTCAAGGTCTACTTCATCATAAAAATATAGTAGTATATGTACTTTACACATATGTATAAAATTTGAATATTAAAAGTTTCCACTTTCATGGGTAAAGTATTGCAAGTTATAAAGTTATAAAGCCCCAGTGTACCTGAATTCTAAACATATTTTCTATTTTATAACAATTTCTTAATTTGGTAAATTTTGTGGTTTTACCCATTTGTTATTCTCCACCAAAGATATGAATTTCTATTATTTTCACAACACTAATGCATCTTTAACATTTTATTACTGAGTTATCACAGCATTTAATACAATACCAGCACTTATCATAACAATATCCCAAACAGTTTACTTTGATACCAAGAACTGATTTACCAAACCAACCAACCACCCACCCACCCACCCACCCAACCAACCAACCCCCAAAAACTGACATGTAAAACTAGTCTCATTATTTTACCTCTGAGAAATTTTTCTACTAGTGGATCAACACAGAAGCTTAAACTTCTGCAAGTTCTCCTTGAAGCACAGCCCATCGGCTGGAGTGGGCCGAAGCATTGCTAGTGGGGCCTGTGATTTCTGGGTTCTCCATTCTATCAGGCTGACTTTCTCTGGCCTATTTAAGTATATGCATTTACAGTCAGTGACTAGCCTAATACTTCCCTTGAAAGAAAACTTCCAGCTATTCTTTACTCTTTAAGCTCTGAAGACAACATTACTATTAATTTTCTGACAGATATAACCATGTGTTTAGAGGAGAATTCTATTCCTCATATATGCATCTCTCATGCCTCAATGACACTATGAGAGAGCTTGAGAGTATGGTTCACTTATTCTTCCAAAGACTTCAGGCACTATTATTAATATTTTATTCAAAAACTAAAAATATCTAAGACAAAGTTTGTGTTAGGTAAGATTCCAGAGCAACAGCAAACAGGGATTGCTCAAACAAACCAGGATATATGGTTATGCAGCTTACCAGTTGGGGTACAATTCCAGAGTCATAGAAAACTTTCAAACCTCTAAAAAGATGTTATAAACCACAAATAATCTATAACTAGACAAGACTAGAAAGAAACCAAGTGAAGAAGGAGGAATCACTGAGTAGGAGGTAAGGAAGAAGGTGAAAATATCAGGAATT